TAGACAGGATCCAATTAACCTACCAGCATGTCTTTGGAGTGTAGGAGGAAACCGGAGTACCCGAAGGAAACTCACGCAGGCACAGGAAGAACATGCAAACTCCAGGCAGGTGGTGCCGTGGTTGGTGTTCGAACCAACAACCCTAGTACTGCCAGGCGGAACTGCTAACCATTTAGCCACTGTGCCTGCCCGTACATTGCTGACCCCTACTCCAGCCCGGGCTTCCTCCCTCTCCCATCAACAGCCAGCATATCTGGCTGCAGCAGCACCATCTGCTCTGCCCAGATCCCGGCCACACGGCACATACACTTACCTTACCAATCAGCTGTCTTCCTTCTACAGCCGCTCCCCTCCTCTTCACCGGCTCCGGCCACTCCCTCACTCCGCTCAGCTTCCTCGATTCTTGTGCTGCTGCTCGGCTCCTCCTCTTTGCCTGTGTGCTTTCCTTGAGCTACAGATCCGGCCGCCAAACACCAGCAATGAGGCAGAGCTTGCAGAGGGAGGGACAGGCTGCCATAGGCCACCCAGTGATCCCAGGGGTGTGGCCAGATCAGAGGGGTGGCATGTCAGCCAGAAGAAAAATTCCCGCCCATATCACGCCGGCATGTGATTCATGATCATCCACCCGGGAAATTAAGACACTGGACACCCTCTCTACTCTTCCTCCAGCAGCGCCTTCGTGGACCGAATCAAAGTGGGGCACAGATAAGAAACATAACAGCCTCAGTCCTGTGTCACTTCCGCCCCCCTGAAAAGTGCCGCCCTAGGCAAACGCCTTGTTTGCCTAGCTGCAATTATGCCCCTGCATGAAGCACGATCCTGGGAGGACATCATATGAATTCATAAAAACAACTTACCATGAAGTTGCCAGAAGTCTTCTCCTTGAGACTTAAGACATTTCATATCGATGGTGGATCGCATCAGCCAGGCTTAGACCAAGAGATCTCCATCAAACCTTGAGTCTTTTCTGAGTGTATAGTCAAAAACAGTCTGGGGGTATGTGCTTTACTCCTGGTACCAGGGCAAGGAAAATTTCTGTGAGCCAATCAGATGCACATAGTACCTATTATATAATGAGCTGGACCAAGCTGGACATCATAAAGGATACAAATCCATGGTGGTGTCAAAAAAAGAGGGGGGATCTTCAGAATGCATCTGAAGTGACCAAAAACACCTGCTATCACTAACAACTTATCCAAATCAAAGTGGGTTACCAAAAACACCCCTTTAAATATCTTCCCTAAAACACAACACTTACAGGGTATATGAAAGACTTTTTTATTGGCATATTTACAGTGCCGGTCCTATTTATGTACAAAATGAGAGTATCATGATTACTGTGGTGATATCATCACATGGTTTCTGTGGTAGGAGTGCTGTTACTCAGCATTACTCCCCTGCATTAAAAACATTGGACATTTATTATATTCTGCCTACCACAACAGATGTGTTATTAAGCCATCAGATTCCACCATTTTTTTTCCTATTAAAAAATTTGGAACATTTCCTGGTCCTTGTCATCCCTACCTTCAGAGTCTGACCTCCTGTGATGACATTTTTGTTCAGCAAGTCCCCTTTGTGGAAGTTCATTTGGTGACTTGATATCTTGTTTCATTCTAAGTCCTGCGAGGCCAGCCATTCCCTGCAAACAATTCATTCATCAAACAATGCAATTAAGCAATTATTGTCAGTGGTTTCTTGCGTGCATCAAAACAAACATCCCTCTCAGTGCGGATCACTCATTAAAAAGCACACTCTCAGAAGGGGATTATGGAGCAAGAACTAGATGGATGAATAAAGATTGTATTTATTTTTTTTAATAAACTCATGCTGATATCAAGGCTAAATAAAAGATGTTATGAAAGGGAATTTGTGAGGCAGGAGATTCCCAGTGTGGCTGGTAAGTGACCTCTGTACTTTGATCTAGTGGATTTCTCCATTAGAATGTGACTCTCATACAGGGATGTTATAGTGTCATCTATTTGCCCCTGACCTTCCTAAATCTATTCAAAGAACTCTTTGTATTCCAAGGAAGTTTCCAACTTGTTATTTATATGAACAATGTTCTTCCGCAATTAAGCTTTAGAGCCCAACTCTTGTAAAAATATATACCTGCCCCATAAATCCTTCTCACCCACTTCTAACACAGCTAAATGGGTCAGCTGTTACATTTTCCTTACCATACTTTTCCTTACCTGGTGAATTCAGTCCCCCCATCCAGGTCCGCGGGGACCACTATCCATTGCTGCAGGTTAACCCTCGCCATCCAACCATTCACTCCTCTTGGTCCAGTATCAGCCACCCCACTACTGGCTGGCCACTGGGAGCTGTCCACATCACTGGGTGTCCAAGCAGTGAAGTGGATACCCGAAGAAGGACTGCAGAGAAGTGAAGGCAAGTGAAAAAGGAGACTTAGAAAGTTTGTTTTTTCAATATTGCAATCAGAGAGCAGGGAGTTGGGCTTTATGGGTGGAAGGAGGGATTCATTCAATTCTAGAATTGAGCTTTAAAGGATAACTTCACCTTTACAAAAAATAAAAATAAATCCTTTAAAAATAGGACTCCTGCAGACTTGTTAGCATAGGTGTCTGCTCGTACCCTGTATGTGGTACGTGCGCCGGTGCAATTGTAACATGTTATGTTACACCCCGAATATGGGTGTATCATGTTTAGAGATGAGCGAATCGAACTTGGCGAAGTGGAATTCGTTTCGAATATTGGGAAATATTCGATTCGCGCCGAATCCGAAAATTAGCCAACTTCGGATGCACGAATCGAATTTTCCCAAAAATGGCGGCGACATGTGTGGCGACGGAGCGGGGATCTCTGGGAAGGCGCGCAGACAAGGCGCGCTGACCCATAATGCATTCATTCATGACATGTGATCGCATTAGCCAATCAGCAGCCAGCCAGCCAGCACTGTGTAATGGTGGAGCTATAAATTGCGGCCATCTTACAATTCTCCATTAGCCTGCGGTCATTCAAGAGAGACAGACCTGTCTGTATTAGGGACAGAGTAAGGGCCAGAGAGACTTTAGGGCCACAGAATCGTTACTTAGGGACACAGAATCGTTACTTAGGGACACAGAATCGTTACTCGGGACACAGAATTGTTAATCAGGGACACAGAATTGTTACTCAGGGACAGACACAGAATTGTTACTGAGGGACACAGATTTGTTACTGAGGGACACAGAATTGTTACTCAGGGACACAGAATTGTTACTCAGGGACACAGAATGTTACTGAGGGACAGACACAGAATTGTTACTCAGGGACAGACACAGAATTGTTACTGAGGGACACATAATTGTTACTGAGGGACACAGAATTGTTACTGCGGGACACAGAATTGTTACTCAGGGACACAGAATTGTTACTCAGGGACACAGAATTGTTACTCAGGGACAGACACATAATTGTTACTGAGGGAATTGTTACTGAGGGACACAGAATTGTTACTGAGGGACACAGAATTGTTACTGAGGGACACAGAATTGTTACTCAGGGACACAGAATTGTTACTCAGGGACACAGAATTGTTACTCAGGGACAGACACAGAATTGTTACTGAGGGACACAGAATTGTTACTGAGGGACACAGAATTGTTACTCAGGGACACAGAATTGTTACTCACAAATTGTTACTCAGGGACACAGACCACAGAATTGTTACTAGACGGACACAGATTGAGGGACACAGAATTGTTACTCAGGGACACAGAATTGTTACTCAGGGACAGACACAGAATTGTTACTGAGGGACACAGAATTGTTACTGAGGGACACAGAATTGTTACTCAGGGACACAGAATTGTTACTCAGGTACACAGAATTGTTACTCAGGGACACAGAATTGTTACTCAGGCACACAGAATTGTTACTCAGGGACAGACACAGAATTGTTAATCAGGGACACAGAATTGTTACTCAGGGACACAGAATGGTTACTGAGGGACACAGAATTGTTACTGAGGGACACAGAATCGTTACTCAGGGACACAGAATCGTTACATCAGGGACACAGAATTGTTACTCAGGGACACAGAATTGTTACTCAGGTACACAGAATCGTTGAATTAAAGAGTATGTCAGACAACACGCAGAGGAGTGGCAGAGGAGGCAATGTTTCAGGAGCGAGCAGACGTGGCAGCAGAGGAAGGGGTCGAGGCAGCACTAGTCGCAGCCAGAGGCCAGTGCTCCCGGTGTCATCCAGCGGTCGTGTCTCCACCGACAACCCTGCCGTCATCGATTGGTTGGCTCGGTCGTCTTCCTCTTCCCAGGTCACCTCTGACACCTACAGCCAACGGTCGGTGGGTACGTCAGACACAACCGTTAGTTGGCATGGCCCGGGAGCAAGCCCACTGAAATCACGTGTCCTCTACCTGCCCCTGTCCTTTGGTGTTCCCTCACCAAGCGAAGTATCGCATGCTGTGGGCTCAGCCCCACTGTACAGTGAGGAAGAGCTAACAGAGGGCGGTCAGGAACGGGGGGAGACATCCGCCTCTTCAGCAGCCAGGTGAAGAAGTACCGGCGAGGAGAGTGGCTCGGTAGCCGGTCTAGAGACAGGTCTGTCTCCTGACCCACACGCAGCCGAGGGGGCTAGTAGTGAGGCGGAGACCCTAATTGATGATGATGAGGCTGATCGCACTTGGCAGCCTCGTCGTCATCTGCCAGGCCCGTAATCTGCCATGGGCCCCCGTACCGCCTCCTCATGCTGCTGCCAGGTCCGTAATCTGTCATGGGCCCCTGTACCGCCTCCTCATGCTGCTGCCAGGTCCAGAGTGTCTCATGGGTCCCTGTACGGCCTCCCATTGCTGCTGTCTCCATCGCCACACTCTGCCATGTGCCACTTTCAGGTCTCCTCACACTGCTGGTGGGTTCCATTTTGTCATAGGGTGCTGGCAGATTACGGGCCTCCCATTGCTGCTGCCAGGCCCGTAATCTGTCATGGGCCCCCATACCGACTCCTCATGCTGCTTCCAGGCCCGTAATCTGTCATGGGCCCCTGTACCGCCTCCTCATGCTGCTGCCAGGTCCAGAGTGTCTCATGGATCCCTGTACGGCCTCCAATTGCTGCTGTCTCCATCGCCACACTCTGCCATGTGCCACTTTCAGGTCTCCTCACACTGCTGGTGGGTTCCATTTTGTCATAGGGTGCTGGCAGATTACGGGCCTCCCATTGCTGCTGCCAGGCCGTAATCTGCCATGGGCCCCTGTAACGCCTCCTCATGCTGCTGCCAGGTCAGAGTGTCTCATGGGTCCCTGTACGGCCTCCCATTGCTGCTGTCTCCATCGCCACACTCTGCCATGTGCCACTTTTAGGTCTCCTCACACTGCTGGTGGGTTCCATTTTGTCATAGGGTGCTGGCAGATTACGGGCCTCCCATTGCTGCTGCCAGGCCCGTAATCTGCCATGGGCCCCCGTACCGCCTCCTCATGCTGCTTCCAGGTCCAAAGTGTCTCATGGGTCCCTGTACGGCCTCCCATTGCTGCTGTCTCCATCGCCACACTGTGCCATGTGCCACTTTCAGGTCTCCTCACACTGCTGGTGGGTTCCATTTTGTCATAGGGTGCTGGCAGATTACGGGCCTCCCATTGCTGCTGCCAGGCCCGTAATCTGTCATGGGCCCCTGTACCGCCTCCTCATGCTGCTGCCAGGCCCGTAATCTGTCATGGGTCCCTGTACGGCCTCCCATTGCTGCTGTCTCCATCGCCACACTGTGCCATGTGCCACTTTCAGGTCTCCTCACACTGCTGGTGGGTTCCATTTTGTCATAGGGTGCTGGCAGATTACGGGCCTCCCATTGCTGCTGCCAGGCCCGTAATCTGCCATGGCCCCCCGTACCGCCTCCTCATGCTGCTGCCAGGTCCAGAGTGTCTCATGGGTCCCTGTACGGCCTCCCATTGCTGCTGTCTCCATCGCCACACTGTGCCATGTGCCACTTTCAGGTCTCCTCACACTGCTGGTGGGTTCCATTTTGTCATAGGGTGCTGGCAGATTACGGGCCTCCCATTGCTGCTGCCAGGCCCGTAATCTGCCATGGCCCCCCGTACCGCCTCCTCATGCTGCTGCCAGGTCCAGAGTGTCTCATGGGTCCCTGTACGGCCTCCCATTGCTGCTGTCTCCATCGCCACACTGTGCCATGTGCCACTTTCAGGTCTCCTCACACTGCTGGTGGGTTCCATTTTGTCATAGGGTGCTGGCAGATTACGGGCCTCCCATTGCTGCTGCCAGGCCCGTAATCTGCCATGGGCCCCCGTACCGCCTCTTCATGCTGCTGCCAGGTCCAGAGTGTCTCATGGGTCCCTGTACGGCCTCCCATTGCTGCTGTCTCCATCGCCACACTCTGCCATGTGCCACTTTCAGGTCTCCTCACACTGCTGGTGGGTTCCATTTTGTCATAGGGTGCTGGCAGATTACGGGCCTCCCATTGCTGCTGCCAGGCCCGTAATCTGCCATGGGCCCCCGTACCGCCTCCTCATGCTGCTGCCAGGTCCAGAGTGTCTCATGGGTCCCTGTACGGCCTCCCATTGCTGCTGTCTCCATCGCCACACTCTGCCATGTGCCACTTTCAGGTCTCCTCACACTGCTGGTGGGTTCCATTTTGTCATAGGGTGCTGGCAGATTACGGGCCTCCCATTGCTGCTGCCAGGCCCGTAATCTGCCATGGGCCCCCGTACCGCCTCCTCATGCTGCTGCCAGGTCCAGAGTGTCTCATGGGTCCCTGTACGGCCTCCCATTGCTGCTGTCTCCATCGCCACACTGTGCCATGTGCCACTTTCAGGTCTCCTCACACTGCTGGTGGGTTCCATTTTGTCATAGGGTGCTGGCAGATTACGGGCCTCCCATTGCTGCTGCCAGGCCCGTAATCTGCCATGGGCCCCCGTACCGCCTCCTCATGCTGCTGCCAGGTCCAGAGTGTGTCATGGGTCCCTGTACGGCCTCCCATTGCTGCTGTCTCCATCGCCACACTGTGCCATGTGCCACTTTCAGGTCTCCTCACACTGCTGGTGGGTTCCATTTTGTCATAGGTTGCTGGCAGATTACGGGCCTCCCATTGCTGCTGCCAGGCCCGTAATCTGCCATGGGCCCCCGTACCGCCTCCTCATGCTGCTGCCAGGTCCAGAGTGTCTCATGGGTCCCTGTACGGCCTCCCATTGCTGCTGTCTCCATCGCCACACTGTGCCATGTGCCACTTTCAGGTCTCCTCACACTGCTGGTGGGTTCCATTTTGTCATAGGGTGCTGGCAGATTACGGGCCTCCCATTGCTGCTGCCAGGCCCGTAATCTGCCATGGGCCCCCGTACCGCCTCCTCATGCTGCTGCCAGGTCCAGTGTGTCTCATGGGTCCCTGTACGGCCTCCCATTGCTGCTGTCTCCATCGCCACACTGTGCCATGTGCCACTTTCAGGTCTCCTCACACTGCTGGTGGGTTCCATTTTGTCATAGGGTGCTGGCAGATTACGGGCCTCCCATTGCTGCTGCCAGGCCCGTAATCTGCCATGGGCCCCCGTACCGCCTCCTCATGCTGCTGCCAGGTCCAGAGTGTCTCATGGGTCCCTGTACGGCCTCCCATTGCTGCTGTCTCCATCGCCACACTCTGCCATGTGCCACTTTCAGGTCTCCTCACACTGCTGGTGGGTTCCATTTTGGCATAGGGTGCTGTATGGCCTCCCATTGCTGCTGCCTCCACCGCCACACTGTGGCTCCACTCTCTGGTTTTGGCCCCGTGACTGCCCAAATGAGTGAAGTGTGCGGTGATTCTAAGATCGACGGCACTCATCTGCATGTCATACTGACTGACAGTATTATTTCTCTTCCCCAGCAGACTCCAAGGGCATTTAAATTAAAGGTACAGTGTTCTGCACTAATATAAAGGCTCTCTGAAGCCTAGAAACACCCTTTTTATAAGTTAAATTCGCAGCGAATATATTCGACTCGAATCGAATTTATTCCGAGAATTCGCCGAATCAGCCGAATCGAATTTTTGAATACTTCGCTCATCTCTAATCATGTTACAAAAGGTGAACTTATCCTTTAACATTATGTTCAGTCTGGTTCCCTTTTTTAATGCTTTGTTCTTGTGAGCTCACTTACAGCCTATGAAGCATAAAAATATCACACCTCAACTCAGCTCAATGGTTTTTTTTTTGTTATGGATTTGTGAACATATCAATTTATTTGGAAAATCTCATTTAAAAACATTTTTCAATATTTGGTGTTTTAAATCCATAAATAAGTTTATAACTTTTTGAAAGGTAAGTAGTTAACCGTTGTCTGTTGGTGAAAGAAAAAGCCGATTTGTACTCATTTAGCTGAAGCAATCAGCAGTGCTTGTTACATAAATAATTACCTGATTAGATTATTTTTTTTATGCTGTTAGATTACAGCAGTTGCCTCATTGTTGCCTGCTGTGTTTGAGCTCTTCTGCCTCTCTGACTCTCAAGCACAGTTTTATTCACTCTGTGATGACTGTGTAGGCGAATACACTTTTTTTTGACAACTATATGTTGTCAATATTGTATGTTAAAAACTCCAAACAGCATCCTTTATTGTATGCTTATGCAGAATTTTCCAGCCAATAGTATTAGGCCTTAGCACATTGTCTGTTGGCATGCAGTAGAGCCAGTCACTCAACTAGCCCCTAATGAAATAAAGGCAAGAACTATATTTCCATAAAAGTATTTTTGAGTCTGTGCAGCTCTCAGTAGATCTTCCACCTCAATCCTGGGCCATTGCGGTGTGGCCACAATACCAGTCCTTAAAGCCTAACAACTGTATTAGATTTAAAATAATAGTGTGATAAGATCACTTATAAAAAACATATATTTTTTCTAGATAGAGGGTAAGAGGGGCTAGTGTAATTACTTCTATATTTTGTCCTCTCTCTCGTTATTCTCCTGGGGGCTTTCTCATTATTTATGAGTCTGACGTCTGATTCCATTTTAATGATAGGCCGCAGATAATTCATTTCCGCGAAATGTGGACAGCCAGAGAGAGGCCAATGAATCTACAGTGAAAATGAGCTTCATTAATTTGCTTTCTATTTCCAAGCTTTGAAATGTTCAAGCTAGGGAATGTCTGAGCCTAGCTGAAATATGTCAGTGACTACCTGTGATAAAGCATCGAGATCAGCTGAACCTTCAACGAGATATTTGCAAAGCTGAAAAAATACAAGGTTCACATGGAGTTACAAATCACTAGCTATAATTACACCTGGGTTTACATTAGAAACTCATTTTGGATGCAAAATATTTTGTAATTATTTTATATGGAACATCATATCAGATTAATATAAATATGTATAATGAAACATTTAGAAACCTAAAACAAACTTGTGGTCAAACGAATCTTACAAAGCTGATACTTACCTACTACATCAAGCACTTTGGGTGCCTAAGCATTGCTTTCTCTTTCCTGTCAAATACCCCGGGAGTTCAAGAGCCCAAATAGTCACCATCTCTGGTGGTCAAGGGCTCTGTTCTATTTTTTCTTGACTCATGCCTTAAACTGTGATCTAATATATCTAAAGATCTAATGGCACCCACTCTGGACACGGAATTGACATTTCATTACTGGATGGTTACTGGCAAGTGGAATTAAAGTCTTATATTTCATTGGAAATCCAATGGGGAGATGTCTCTAATTGACCTACCAGATGGATTTAAGAATCCAATCACAAGAAAGTTACACTTTCATTGTGTACTTTAGGAGTCAAGTTATACAAACAACCAAGAGTAACTTCCAAAAGATGACTAATGCCACCAGTGCTCACCTAAACCATCAATATTAGTTTGGGTGAATTCTAACCACTAGAGGATTTTGTATATTGGAGATATGTCCTAAAAAACGTCAACAAACGTCAAACGTTTTTTGGACACATTTCCTCCTGATGCTGCTCATCCCGCCATAAGTGTCAGTAATTACTGGCTGTTGAAGTGACAGCAGAGAACTGCGTTGTAATACAAAGTCGCAACTAGCAAACTGCAGCCGTTCTTGTGTAAAATGACATTTGTCATCTGCAAGTGTGATTAAGTACAAAGTATTTACTTATTTGTTTCATTGTATTTACTATTTCATTCACATGTTCAAGTGTGACCCATGATCTGCATACAACATCAGTTAAAGAAACCTTGCAGGTAAAAATTAAGTTTTTATTTTAACTGAAATATGTTTACTTAACCTTTAATTAACCCTTGTTTAATCCTAGGTAGCCCTAAAAACTATTTCTTCACCGTCTCCCCTAGCCTAATATTTCTTCACTTTTTAAGCCTTCATTTTTTCACTAATAGGTTTTTTGTTTTATTTTGTCTTGTTGGTTATTTTTCTTAGTGTTGCATAATAAAATGCGCAAAACAAAAAATGTCTCTTTTCATTAGCGAAAACCTTGCCACACTTTGCACCAGAAACATTGTTTTAGCATCATTATACACAGGGCAAAGTAAAGAAGTACTCTTTTTATTTACATAAAACCTACTTTTTAAAAAACTAATGCTGGACAAAATAGAAAAAAAAAAATCATTTTCCCACATCTGGAAAACAATTTTTTTGATGGCAATATTGCCAAATAAAAAGTTTGTCCCCATGGGGTTGATTTACTAAAGGCAATTAAATTGTGCACTTTGCAAGTTAGGCAAAGTAAAAGGAAAACAGTATTTTTGCTTGCACATGATTGTGCACATGATGAGCATTTACTAAGCTCCGGAGCAAATGCCCTTGCAGAGTGTAACTGCACTTGCAAACTGCCAAGTCTGGCTGTCATTATAAACCAACCCTACTGTATGCAGGGGCGGACTGACAACTCATGGGGCCACCGGACAATAGGGGATCATGGGGCCCCTGTGTCCTCGCCCACACTCAAACCACACCCCAAAAAGCCTATGAAAGGTACCAGGGGCATCTCATGGGGCCCCTTACTGACTCCGGGCCCTCGTGCCCAAGTTTCTGAAATGGTCAGTCCGCCCCTGACTGTATGTATTCATTTTAAGTAATGAAAAAAAAGTTATCATTGAAAAAACAGGCCTAAAGTGGAAATGTGAAAACTGATCTGGTCCATAAGGGCTATACAGGTGTAAGTACTGAAGTGTTTAAAATATGTTTTAAAAGGATTCTTGTAGAGCTCTGTTTTATATAAGCAAAAACAGCATAGGAAATAAAGTGCTTCTTCATCCTAAGTTACAGTCTGCAATATTGCTCAGTTTAATTGGATTTTGCACCAGTCCTGATGAAATAACCACAGTTTTCTACAGATTTAATATATTATACACATAAATCTAAACCACAGTACCTTTGTTCACATTTATAGTTCACAGCCAGTAAAACAATGAACAAATGCTAATGATACAGAAAAAGAACACTATAAAATTGAAAGATCAAAAGTGAGTTGAATCTAGGCGTTCCATGCTATAAAATGTCCCTGGGACCATCCTGCTGACCACCCAGTGAGGAAGGAGGACTATGTTTCCCCTTTCTCTCACTGGAACTGCAGGATCAGACACTGCAGGACAAATTCAGATATTGCTGGAACCTGTAAAGGTAATTCTTTGGTAAAAAAGGATATAAAGAACGTGTTTTGTGTGTGTGTTTTTTTTTTACTTACATTTCTTAGCTGCATGCACAGGTGGACAAGTTGTTGGACCACTAAAACTGTTGACCAAAGATGGGGCTACCACCTACTTGAACCCTACGTGGGGACAGGTAAGAGGTACTGTACATGTGCCCCCTTCTCCTTTGTCAGCACCCCTTGCTAGGCACCAGGGTGATAATTAGCCCAGTGCCTGTCAGCATCGGGCACCAGTGCTTTGTTAGTGGCACCCTTATTGTTTGTTGGGAACCCTTCTCAAACACCCTCTCCAATGCTGAAAGGCATGTGGGCTGCTAACCAAATAGCAGAGGGGGGTGCACACTTACTCTCTCCTTGCTTTGGGGATTCAAGCATGCACTCCTGACATGCCAGGTCAGTTATTATGGGGATTTGTGTGTGTGTGGGGGGGGGGGGGAGAGAGACAGTTTTTTTTAATAGAAAAAAAACAAAAAAATAAATACATTTTGCCAATAATCACTATCCGCATCCTTTAATATCTGCTTTTTTGAATGGAAGAAAACCCTATTTTTCTTCCGTAAAAAAAAAAAACCGAACGGACAAAAAAACGGATGTAAATATACTTGCAGTCCGTTTTTGCATTGGTAAAGGTTGTAAAAAAAACTGATGGAAAAACTGATGAGAAACTGAGGAGAAAACGATGAGAATCTGATGTAAACTGCTGAAAAATTATTGTGAACTGATCCATTTTTTCTTTGAAAAAAAATGTGACTGAGCCGAATGAATAAAACGGAACGCCCGTGTGAAGGACCCTTCCAGAATTTTCCATACATTTAATGTGCCAAGTTTAAATTTTGGAGGATTGGTCTAGTAAATGCCACAAAATACATACAGCGAATCAGGACAGAAAATGCGGGGCAAATCCTACTGAATCTCACTTGAGTGAAAATTTTGATATGATAATTTTTCAATATTCAAATTTATAATTGTTCAAAATTTAGGACATTTATTTTTTAAAGGGAACCAGTGGAGGTTGCAGACTAGGAGGGTGAGGAGCAGGAATAGAAGACTAACAGTTATGCTGCAATGCACATGAGATGACAAGGAATATGCTGACAGGATGAGAAAGCAGAGTGAGCAGATGGATAACTTATCACTTCATTCCTTCCCCTCCTTCACTCTTAACCATAGGCTGGGAATGGGGAGATGACCAAGCTTAACTGTACCAGAGTAAAGTCAAGTCACCAGCCTGGCTTTGCTGTTTAGTAGGGTTTTGTAAAACTCATGACTGGCTGGACAGAAATAAAAAAACACTTTTGCAGGTACTCAGCACT